CAGAGTAGGGAGAAAGATAAAGTAAACTACTCAGACTTCATGAAAAAGATACAACAAAACACAAATTTCATATATAAAAGAAAGTTCATACAACACTATTAAACAAACAACACTTATCTGAAACTCTTTCTAAAAGCAAATCCCTTGTAGTCTCTTCTAGGAAATGAAGGAAGAAGAAATCTCTCACTTTTCTCATTCTCCAACACACTTCGAGAAGAGTTCAAACTTAATCTCACCACAAAACTCTAAATTATAAGAACAATGGACTCTAAATGGTTGTGGAATGAAAAATGAAGGAATGTGTTGTGTGGAAAGTTGAATTGGGGCGATGGAATGGCAGGAAGAGTCACTTTTTTTATCAATTTCGGGCCCAAATAAAGCTTAGAGTCGGTTCTCCAATAGGTGCCTCCAAAAACTCTTCATAACGGGTCCAGATTCGTCGAATCTTCTAGAAATTGGGGCTGACCGAAATTGGCGCCGTCGGCGCCAGTGTCTAGTAATTAAATTCAATGCTCTCTGTCAAACGGCGCCGTCGACGCTAAATAAATTTCAACTTCTTCACTTTTGCTCGAAATTTCATCATTTTTGCTTTCTTCTTGTTTCAAGTCCTAAAATTCAACAGCCTGCAAGAAAATGTATAAATACATTCCATTAAAGTGCAATATCACCAAAAATGAATATAAAATATGAGGCGTTAGTTATAATTTCTTATTTTTTTTCAAACATTTTTTTTTATTTTTATTTTTAAAAAGCATAAAAATCATAAGCATAACCTAAGTAATTTTTATTTTGTGTTTAAAAAATAAAATTAAATATACTAAACTAAAAAAATTAGAAAACAAAAATGATTCCAGTGATTATAAATTAAGATCATTTTTCATAAAACATGCCCAAGTCTTTTTAGGTCCACATCTACCTTTATTAGCATAAGTCGAATCTAAAACATCTAATCTCCTAACCAGATCATTAGATGGTAATTTTTAAGTGACCAAATCAACTAGATTGACAAGCTCCTGTCTTCCACTGGAGCTACACCAACCCTTTCTCGGATATATTAATTTCACAGTTTGTCTTTAAGTGTAAAGTGACTCAATTACCTACGCGTTCTTATCTCAGCAAGAATAAACTTAGTTTTATGATTCTCTTTTGTAGGTCAGAATTATGCTCCACAAAGAATTTCAAGTCTCATCAACATCTTATTAAATTTTCTTCTGAGTTAATTAGGTACTTTTCTATCACACAATAGGCCCAATTCATTCCTTTACTTCAACCACCCAACTTGATTATACTAATAACATTTCCATTTATATCACCATCACTTTGAACAATAGATCGGGATATCTAAAATGTTCACTCATTTTAATGACTTAATTACCCATTGTTACAACTCTGTAACTAGATCTACTACTACTAAAGTTACATTTCATGTATACAATTTAGATCTACTCGGATGAAGGCCTTTAGACTGTAAAATAGACCTT